TCTCAACCAGAGTGATTTTACCATTGGGGGAACATTTGGCAGCGTCTGAAGACATTTTTGATTTTCACAAGGGAGGGAGGATGCAATTTGCATCTAATAGATTGTGGCTAAGGATGCTGCTAAACTTCCTACAATGTACAGGACAGTCCCCTCTTCCCCCAACAAAGAATTATCCAGTCCAAAATGTTAGTAGTGCCATGGTTGAGAAACCCTGATCTAGGCTATACATATGTTTTTGGTTCAAATTTACAAAAGTGGTATTAAATGTATGTATTGTTCTATGATCTGAATGTATAGTATTTCTTCAGGGAGAGAAGAGACAGACAGTCTCAGAAAAGGGAATAAACACATCTCAAAGACAAGAAAACTCTGAGCATATTTAGAGAGGAAATATGTAGTTACAAAATCATGGGGACAGGATATATCATAGTGGTTAAGAACCCAGGCTTTGGAGTGAGCAGATGGGATTTGAATCTTAACTCTATTTATTTGGATCAAGAGGCTGAGGAGAGCAGAGAAAATATGAGATAGGAGCTGTATGACCTTAACAAGTCATTAACCCTCTAGTAGACTCATTTGCCACAGGCTTAAGTTGAGGAACAATGACACCTACTTCAAAGGATTATTGTAAACATTAAAAGAGGTAGTGGTTGTCAAGGTCCTTGTATCTGGTAGGTGTTCAATAAATGATGATTGTTGTTACTATTGTTACCTTTTTATTATCAAACGAATCATATAGAAAATGACATACAAAAATGTATAGCTTAGTGAATTATTATAAGGCACACATACCCTTGTAAATATCATACAGATCAACTCTATGTTCATGCACATAATGTGTGTTATACTTCTATTTATATAAATATATTTGGTGGGAGAATGGTAGTGATTGTTTGGGATGGAGAGAGGGTGTATCACAGTAGAGTTTTTACTCTTTTGTTTCCATGTGGTGTTTTCCCATTTTCTTTTAAATCTCTTAGTAAATTTTGTTATTTTTCTCTTACATTTCTTGTTAAGGCTATTCCTAGGTATTTACATATGCCTTATTACCATTGTGAATGGCATTATTTTTCCATTACATTTTCTGACTAGCTATTGTTGGTATACTGGAAAATATTTTACATATTTTTATCTTGTGTCCAGCCACTTTACTGAATTATTTGATAATTCCTGCAGGAGTGAGGTCTCACTGCCCCCTCATTCACAGGCTGTGATGCCACAATGAGCCCCTTTGACCTTCCTGCTATCATCAGAAAAAGAAAAGCAGGGTCCTCTCCTTCCCTGGAAGAGAATAGCAGAAGCAGTGGGCTGTTGACAATTGTGTGTTCCAGGCAGTGTGCCCTAGAAAATGCGGCAGGCAGAGGCCCTGCAAGGGTAGCTTGTGATGCATTGGTGCCATTGCAGCTGTGACTGTGCCCTACAAAGGCAGGCGATGGTCTGGTTGGCTTTGTGCAGGCCTTACTGTCAGTGATGAGTTAGGCTATTGAATATTGGGATGCAGCAGCAAAGAGCAGGAGCCAAAGCTGACTGGACATTGGCTATGTTGATGGAAAGAAAGAATCCCCTGACTATGATAGATCAAAGTCACCATTGTCTCCCCTTGGAATTGGGATTCTGTTGGAGTCATGAGAGGAACAGCGTAAAGTGAAAAGCATGGGTGTTAGAATAGCCAGACCTGAATTCAAATAGTCAAAACCTGCCACTCAGTAGCTATGTGTCTTAATTTGGCTTCCCTCCCCACACAAGGCAGACCTTAAGACAAGAATTGGGTGCAAGTAGTTTATTTGGGAAGCACAGTGAGGGGGTGGGAAAGTGAGCTGGGAACGGCGGGGGGCCCTTAGAGGATGAGTGGGTTACTACTACGGGCAATTGACACTCAGTGCTCTGGGAGTCCTCTGACAGACAGTGTAGAACACACTTCAGTGTTGTCTCACCAAGAGACAAAGAAGCTAGCCTATTTATTTACCAACTCCTGGCCATCAGTTGCAGGTCACTCTTGGGGGCATTAACTCTTCAGCAATTCTGGTGAGCTGGCGTGCTCTTGGAGCTGGAGAACGCTCTCAGGCAGTGATGCTTTTGGCATATATGGGAACTGTCTGTGGGTGAACTCCAAGGTGGGCTGGTGGGATGTTATGTGTTACAATTATGTGGCCTTGTCTGCTTTCATGTCTCTGAAATGGAGATATGGTATGTAAGTGCACTGGATTAGTGGGAAGATTAAGAGCATTAGAGTTCACAAAGTGCCTCTCATAGCTCCTGCAACATAGTTGATGCTCAATAAATCATCATTTTGTAGCAATAAGTTAACATGAAGGAACAGTGGCCCTTCCTCTGTGGCTGATTTAAGACTTGTTTCTGTCAGTGTAATTTGTATTAGAGAAGATAGTTGACAGGAGTCAGAAGGGGCCATTTGTGGCCTTAGGAATTGAGATTTTCCTTGAGTGAAGCCACCCACTGGTATGGGGACAGAATTTATTCCTTATAAGTGTCATAAAGCCAACTAGCTTAGTAATATATAATTACATTATTTTCTCAGTAATAAAGCTTTTGCCAATGGCTTGTACATTTTGTTGCCTGGTAGAGAAAATAAAGCTTTCATGGAACAGAGTTATTTTGCCTATAGCTATAAAAAATATCTATCAGTTCATGCTGAATCTCAGAGCATATCCAGGTTGACATAGATGCCAAGCTGATTGTGTTTTTCACCTTTACACTAAAATCTAATTGAAGATGCTATCATACCTTTGGCACAACTCCGTGTGCTTGCTTACCAGGGAAATGGAAGGTTGGGGGGAAGGTAATAGTTATTTGCTTATCTCAGGGGATGGGGTTGGGTAGGCTTGGGAGGCATATGAAAAATAACAAGGGAACCTGGTGAACAAGATTCATCACGATGAAGAATTTTAAATTTTGCTTTATTTGTGGTGGTTGGGATGGAGTTGAATATGGCCAATGTTGTTTGCAAATTGAGAGGTTTGGGGGCACAAGATGACATGAGAGGGCCGTGCGCTCTCCTCAGCTCTAGCAGAGGTGGTGGTTACAGTCATGAAGGTGGAGGTTCTGAGTTCCTCCCAGCCAAGGCCGGCAGGGAGAGTTAGGATTGTGCATGTCCTTGTGACAGGCACAGGTTAGGTAGGTGCACACCAGCCTGTCCCTGTCCTCTGTGCTGTCAGCCCTGATTTCGTTCAGCTATCAGATGGCTATTCCTTGATCTCAGGGAAGGTAGGCTAGTCTCAGTGGAGGATTTAAGTTTGGTTTAAGCCAATCATGGTATTGCCTTTATATTTCCTGGTGTTTGGTGTGAAGTAGCCAAGTGGCCTAGAAGTCTGATGGGGATTTTAGGAGATATTTTCTCTCTCTGGTAAAAAGAGGGTGATGGAACAAAAGAGGTCTGCTTTTTCATTTCTTGATATTAGATTGGGTTGCATGAAGACATGGTGTTTGGTACTGTGGCAGTTATTATGTGACCACAAAGGGACATCTCCATTTCACTAAGGGTGACAGAATGGAAAGATGGAAAAATTCTGTGTTCTTGATGTATCACTAAGCTTCTGGGTCAGCTTGGGACTCCACGCTTCTGTCTTCTTACACCAGTAATGTGAGACCCCTATTGTTCAATCCACTTTTGGTGGGATATTCTGTTATTGAAGCCAAAGGCATCTTGATCGACAGAGCTCTGGATAAAGAACAAGTTTGGGGGAATGTTGAAGACCCTGATTTTAAGAGTAAGTATCCATGGAAAAGAAGAAGAACGGAGGTAGAAATGGGACTCCTGGGGAGGGTTCAATCGTCACTGACCAGGACAGCCAGAAGATCGGGGCTTGTGCTGATCGGGAGGCCAGGTAGTGCTCCCCACTGCTACAAGGTGAGTGACAGCAGGAGTGAGACAGCGGAGGCCACTTGGTCAAGGCGCCAGGATGGTGCAGCCAGGGCAGGCAAGCCTTGCGGTTCTCTCTGTGGGGGACTCAGGATTCAGGGTCAACATGATGTTACAGCTCTGAGAGCCTGATGGTGGCGCAGGAAATAGTGGCTTTGGAGCCAAGAGGAACTGGGCCCTGCCGCTCACTTGAGCAGAGCTCCATCCAGTTTCCTTAGCTGTAAAATGAAGGAAGTCCTATCTACCCCAGTGGGTTGTTATGAAGATTAAAATACATTAACTTCTGTTAATTTTCTAGGATATAGTGAGATTTTAATAATAAAATATAGTTATTACTATTCAATAGAGACCTGCAGAGGTAATGAAAATACTTCATGATCCATCACCAGATGCATGACCAACAGATGCTGGGTGAATTCAGGCCAATTTGAGGCTTGCTAGGACAATCTGGTGTTGACCTCCCTGACTGGTCTGCTAAGACAGAAGACCCTGGGAATGGAATTTCTGGAGACCATTTCTTCTCTGCCTCCAGACGCATACCTGAAACTAGACATTTGGGAAGGGAGGGTGGTGAACATTTATATTTGTCATGACATTGTTTTCCCATGAGCAGGAAGGAAGACAAAGACAGAAGATGAGCACTGCTGATAGATATGAGAATACCAGAGGTAAGCATGTTTTCCAAGGTCCCAAAGGACTTCGTGGGGGCTCATTGTGGGGTCTCAGACTCCCGGGTAGAGGGATGGAGAGGATTGTAGAATGCCCTCTGCCCATTCTATCATTGACCACTTCAGTTATAGAAGCACCAGGAATACAAATGTGATAACCAGAACCAGAGGCTTCCTGCTCACGGATATGAGGGAGGAGGTGGACCAAAATAACTGCACAACACTAATAGCAGACTCTGAGAAGCCACCCCTTCTCTCCCGGAGCCCCTTCCTACATATCCCTTCTAAGTAATTTCTAACCTTCTGATGATTCAAGGAAAGAAGAAGAATAGAAGTTATTGGCGTTTGTAGTAACAGGATGAGAAAGTGCGAGACTTCCTGTTATGTGTGTGTGACAGCTGGTGATAAGTGGAGGGCCCTGCACAGGAAATCCGCTCAGCTTCTGCAATGTGACCTGCCTACAACTTGGGCACTCCTTCAGTCTAGATGTTGATGGCAGGACAAAGGGGTGCCTGGACTATGGGTGACGTGGTAGAGAAGAGTTTGGAAGGACCCCTGGCATCTCCTACAGATGGACCCTCCCAGAAAAGGGGAGACCTAGTAGAAATCTTAAATGGGGATAAGGTAAAATTTGACGACACGGGGCTCTCCTTAATTCTGCAGAATGGCCTGGAGACCCTCCGACTGGAAAACTCTCTGACAGATGTCATCTTATGTGTGGATATCCAGGAATTCTCCTGCCACCGCGTGGTGCTTGCCGCGGCCAGCAACTATTTCAGGTCAGCACGCCTAAAACCAGGGTCAAATTGGGTGCAAATTGTCAGGAATCTCTGTATAGATGTGAGAGCCCCATCTGACTAGTTGGCTGTTGTGTTTATAGTTTGTATATCTATTTAGGTTTGTGTGTCTATTAAGATGCAAGAAAGGAAGCTATTAAACCTTCAATGTTAGGATTTAAGTCATATTAAAAGAGAGATTGGTATTACTTAAAAGCAATGTTTATATATTATGGTAAATCTTCTGTGTGATGTCCTTGTTCCAGAGGATGGAAAATTACTGAAGTCATGGGGATTTTTTTCTCCCTCGGTCTGACTAGTGTGTTGGAAACATGATGTTGTCTTTGTTCACTGACAGAGGTAGAGAAAAGGATGTGGCCCCTCTTTTGGAGTTATCAAATGACTTGCTGAAAATTAGGGGTTTCTGTCTTCGCTGAGGGGGTGGGTGGAAAGGGAAAGCTGTTACAAAGAAAGGTGCTTTAGGAGAAAGTGGCTCCTAGTTACAATGAACTCGGAGATCTGGGTTCCATCCCACTGTGCTCCTCCTGACCTTGGGACTTTAGGCAAGTCACTCAATGCTCTGGGTTTCTGTTTTGTCATCTGTAAGATGGGAACAGTGATGATTACCTACAAGGATTGTTGTGATAGTTAACTATGAGAGGGAAAAGGGTTTCACATGCTGCCTAGCACATAGTAGATGCTTGCTGAAATTCGCCACCTTATTCTGCTTGTTTCAGCTAAGAACCATTTACTGTGTGTTTACCATGAGCAAATGCATGGGGTAGGAATATGGGAGAATCAGGAACCCAACAAATACATACATCTGGATCCAGAGTTCTCCAAATTGATGTAGACATAGTATGAACCAGCCCCCAATGGAAATGTGGATGAAGAAGGTATTTGGGGAACTTGAAAAAGAAATACCCTTATAATTCTTTCAGTGAGAGTCTTCTTAATGCTTGATTTTGGCTGAGGAAATTAAAAACAGCATATATATATATATATATATATATATATATATATATATATAATTTGCTTCCTTCCTTCCTTCCTTCCTTCCTTCCTTCCTTCCTTCCTTCCTTCCTTCCTTCCTTCCTTCCTTCCTTCCAATGCTTAGGGGTAAATTTTTTTTGGAATTCCAAGAGCAGGGTCAGGAGGTTGTTGTGGAACTGATGAAGTCCTATATGTAGACAAGGCAAGGGGAAATCTGGGTCTGCAGGGAGTGGTGCTTGCTAAGTGCCAGACAGACATAGTTACCTGAGTTAATTTTTGCAACAGCATGATGAAGGTGGCTGATATGCCCTTTTACAGATGAAGAAATGGAAACCCAGCATTACTTATCTAGTCATTGCTGGAGCAGGAATTGGGCACATTCTAGTAATCCTTGTTTTTACTGCAAAATAACTGCCACTAAATTTGGGGCTTCACTCCACAGGAAGTGTATAAAAGGTAGAACATAGACACAGCAGTAATGATTGGTTGATGTAGATAAACACATTACTTACTCCACCAATATTGACCATATGCTTTCACATTGGTCACAACCCCTATAAGAAGTGAATGAAAGTCATCTTAGCTCAAATGTGCTGAGTACTCACTGTTTAGGTTCATCCTTTCTGTTTTGAATCACTGGACAACTGCTGTTATAAAATGTATACTCGAATAGTAATTTTGTTAGTGTCTGGTCCTAGGGAACAGACCTGCTGGCTATGTGCTCCTGAGTACATCACTGGTTTCTCTGATCCTCGAGTTTCTCATCCTAAACGGATGGTGTGTGGGCGCAGTCCTTCCAACCCTGCAGATATAGGATGCTTCAGGAAAGTCTCTGCCAGTCCTCAGAGGAGGCGGCGCCCACACAGGGCCTGTTTCTGCCTGTGGCTAACGGGTTGCTTCTAAAACTGCCTGGTCATGAAGGGAAACTTCTTCTACTCTTTTTTTCAGAGCAGTGACTTTTGATTCTTATCTTGGTATTTCCAAGATGACTTTCCTCCTCTAATGAGCACATTAATCCTTGTTTTTCTGGTACTACTCTTAATAACTTCTGCTGTTGAGCACTTAGTGTGGGCCAGGCCCTGTGCCACCTGTGTCACATACACTATCCCACAACAACCCTGTGATGCAGGGAATGTTATCCTCATTTACAGATGAGGCACCCAAGCCGGGAGTTTCTCAGTTAAAAAAGTGGCCAAGTGGGATTTGAACCTAGGACTGACGATAACTCTGACATTGCCTCGCCGCCTGTCTTGCTTTGTTTCTAAGATTTGAAAGGAGTTGGGAGCCAAGTTCCCCTTCTGCCCAGACTTTGGAAGGGCGAAGAGTCTGCTCTGTCTGGGAGGTTTCCGGCACAGTCCTCTGCACTTTGGAGGCCCTGGAAGCTGGTTGTGAAATTATGTAGGTTTTTTTTTTTTAATTTTTGTTCATTGAGAGCATAAATATCTTTCACTAAGTGATTGAACCATAGTTTATTTAACCAGCCACTTATTGACAGACTTGGATGTTTTTAATTTTTTCCTATTACAAACAATGCTGTAATGAATAACCTTACGCATATACATATGAGTATGTCATTTCATATGCATGCAGGAGTGTCTGGGGTGCATTTCTAGAAGAGGGTGTGCTGAACCAAATCCTAAAGAGAAATACATCTGCAGTTTTAGTGGGTATTGTCTGATTCTCCTTGACAGGGGCTCAATCATTTTGCACTCCCCACAGCCTTGCCAAAGGAGGATGGCTCCAATCTTTTGGATTTTTCCCAGTCTGATAGATGAGAAACAGTATCTCAATTTAATTTTTTTTTTTAAAGATTTTTATTGGTGAATTGGGGGGGATGGGAACAGTGCTGGGGAATTGGGGGAAGGGGGACAGACAAGTTGCTGTCGTTTTTTGTTCTTCAGTCTAGTTGTGGAGGACGTTGCTTCACTGGCCCAAGTTGGCACCATCATTGCGCTCTTCCCAGGCGAGGCAGATCAGTCGCCGGCTTCTGGACGGCCGCTCACTGCGGCTGCTGGCCGCTCACGCTGGCTGCTGGCTACACACGGTAGCCCATGGCAACCCACTGCCACAGGGACTGCAGCCCACGCCGTCGCCGGCGACTCACGGCAGCCCAGCTCCAGGTTGAGCCGTTGTTCAGCATCTTAGCTGTAGAGGGCAGTGTCACTGGCCCTCATATGTGGGATCCGAACCGGGGCCCTCTGGCATCCCAAGCGAGTTCTTAACCATCGAGCCACTCGGCCGGCCCTATCTCAATTTAATTTTAATTTGCATTTCTCTTATTTTAAATAAGGTCTGCGGTTATTTTTTTATCTTTTCATAGCCTTTCAAATTTTCATGTATGTCTTAAAATTAAAATTCATTTTTATCAAAGTGCTTCATGCAAATGGTTATCAAAGAGTAAAATAGTACTTCAAGACTAAAGATGAAAAACAAAAACTCCTCTTCACCTCCTCTACCCTTCAGTCCTGCTCACCAGAGCCCACTATTTTTAACATTTAACATTTAACATTTAGCTGTTTCTTCTAATATTTATATTTCTACAAAATATGCTTATATGAGTCTTTATTTTTTTGGCTTATAAGTGTTTTTTATTCATAGTTTCATTTAGGTATAATTTAAATAAAATAAGATTTAGCCATTTTAAGTGTATAATTTCACTATATCTTAGTAAATTTACAGTTGTGCAGCAATCATCACAATCCAGTTTTAGAAAATTTCCATCAATCCCCAAAAGGTCCCTCCTGCTCAATTGCAATCACTCCCATTCCCACCCTCACCACCAAGCAATCACGATCCTTCTGTTGCTGTTGGTTTGTGTTTTCTGGATATTTCATATAAATGGTATTCTGCTCTTTTTTGATTTCTCAGTATTAGATATCATTTATGGATTCTTAGTAGGTCTGATAAAGACTTAGCACTTATACCTAACTCCCTTACCATACACTTCCTTTCCCTATAACCTCTCAATACAATATCATCCCATTTTTGATTAATTTATAATAAGAGTTTACATTATGTCCATGAAAAAAACATTGTTTCCTGCTGAGCCAAATTGTGTGATAGGATTACATTTCCTTTCTTGTAAATGCTTTTGTCTTTCCTGAAGTTAATCATTCACTCTGTTTTTCCATTTGCTTTGGGGATATCTTTTGCTCACCACCTCTCCACAATAATCTTTCTGTGGTCCAATGCCTCAGAAAATCCACCAGTACCATTTTCCCCCAGAATCTCCCTCACTCTCATCATCCTATACATGTTCTCGGGACCTGCTGCCTAGCTATTGTCTAGTTGTACATGAAACCATGGTGGCCGTAAACAGGAGCTATATTAGTAACTCAGACAATGCAGTTTCTTTTGGAGGCCTATTTAAAAGTCTTGAGTGGAATGAGGAAGTTGGGAAAATCTGTAGAGCTGAGACTGAGAAAAGTGTGAGGGAGAATAAAGCTTAGAAAGTAGCTCATACATGCCTTAAATGTCAAACAGCCAAATGTCAAGGAGTCCAAATATTTTCATGGCAGAAAAATTGAGGAAAGCATAGATTTCACATTTATATTCATGTTTTAAAAAATTTTATAAGACTACTAGTGTCTTTTATAAGACTACTCATAAAGCTGTCATTTGTGCTATGCCTTTGGACAGGCCCCCACGTCAAAGTCATTGGAAGGAGTTGCTCATCCTACGTACTGAGCTCACCTCCCAAAGGATCTCCATTTAAGCGAGTGGTTCTCTCCATTTGGAGTGTGGGGAGCAACTCCCTGCGGAATATGGCACACTCCATAAATGACATTGATCTGTGGGAGCAACCATGTTGTGATTTTCAGGGTTGGCAGAGGGAGGGGAGTAGTGGTGATGCAGGGAGGGGTCATTAGGCTTCTTTTAGCCCCACCTGATGACTGGCCCTTCCTACATGAATATAAAAGCTTCCAGGCTGAGGCTGAGTCAACAGTAAGCTCCTTTGTTGCAGCCGATGCTGAAATCCCTGGACTTGGCCCTGACTTGTCCCTTCGGTA